GCTAAACTCACCTGAATGAAATTTGCTGAACCATCGTTGACACTTACGAACGTTAAAAATATTTCCACAAACTTCTTTGATATTTTTTGTGGATACAGATGCGTTGTTTCCCTTCTTGTATTCAAACAACATTATATTCCGAGTGTATGTGTCGTCGTGTGCCATCACTATACGGGATTAGAGTATACTAAACTTTACACATTATATAGGTTACACAACATGACGTTTAGGCAGTTCGTTTAACTATTATATATGATGTACGTTTTTTGGGGGGTGGTTAATGAGTGTTCCAAAACGCGATTTTAATTTCTTGAAGACCTAATAAAAAAGCTTTGTATGAATATTAAGTGAACGAAAGGTATTAAAAATATATATACCAAAATCCATAGCTTCATATATACGACGTATTTCAACTACATTTTCATTTCTGTCTCTTTTAATGTGGAGTCATTTGTGGATTAAATCCCATCAAGCTTTATATTCTCCGAGGACGACCCCTGATTTGAAAAGCAAAATTGTGAAATATATAATGAGCATGTGAATAACCTGTTCCGGAAGTATAATACTGAGAAAAAAAAAAACGAAAAAAAGGGAAAGGTTAATACGGACAGGAAGTGGATTGCCATTGAGAATAAAGATCAACAGTTGGCTGGTAGCCTTTTCCATTGATGAAAAAGAAAATACATGATAATATTAGGACAAAAGCAAAAGTGAACGTATAGATATATCGCAAAGCAACAATAATCATGAAACATAAATTTGTCGTATTGTCATAAGCCAATAGTAGTGTAGTGTTTAAAAACCCAATAAGCCTAATACTTTTTATCGTTTTATAATAATATGATTGATTATAATCACGCTTCGACAGTAAAAAACATTCACACCATAACAATTGTAGTTTTTATTGCAACAAAGAATACATATTTCTTTTTCACCGCCTTCCCCCAGTGGCACAGCGGTATGTCTGCGGACTTACAACGCTAGGAACCGGGTTTCGATACCCGTGGTGGGCAGAGCACAGACAGCCCATTGTGTAGCTTTGTGCTTAACTTCAAACAAACAAACAAATTCTTTTTCACCAAGGGTAAAATTTAAAATACCATCTGTGACGCAGAGTCATCTGATTGGCTGTAGACTTCAGTTTCGCTTATTCAAGGCTCATCAGCACAAACTTGCGCCAGAAAAATAAAGAAATACAGTCAGGCTTCTTGTAATGGTGATGCATATTACAAGATTTATGAAGTTTTTTCAGATCTTTTAAATTCATTATATAATAATTTTTTAAGTCTTCGTGCGTGTTTATCGTACACCCACTAATGAAAATTCGGCGATTTCAAAAGACTAGGCCTAAAAACAAGTGCTTTAATTTCGTTCATTTGTGTGTTACATAAATGTCTTCTTTTTTTACAAGTCCACAAAACTGAGTAAATAATATCTGAAACAATGAAACGAATAACAAACAGTAGCAGTTACAGCAGATTAAAACCCGAAATTACAAAATATTATACATGTACTACCCGATGAAATTGTCCGAAATGTTAATTGCATATCCTCCCCTCCCCCATTTTACTCAATTTATGTACTAACAATCTTCTGAACTAGATTTTGTTTAACTCATTAAATTTATTCGTGGTCGATCACAGAATAAACGTTATTTATAAAAGTAGTTTGTTGCTCAAAAATCGATAAAGTGTTGTTTTTAAGGGACTTGTAAATACATTGAACGTAAAGTAATCAATGATTTTTTTTAAAGATAAGTTTAGAAACGTGGATCTTATTTGCATAAAAATATTGCAACGCTATTAATATATAATTTTTACTGGCGGTTGGAAAGGGATTTTGTATTTAATGCGCAGAAATAAGTATTTCAGAAAAACTAAGACTTGCATAATCTTGAAACTGCGAAGAAACGCCATGTCAGAAATTTAATATTGATCATCGCTTTTGGTCTTCTCTAATTTTCATAGACCACGTTGTTTCGAGATATGAATTTTTACCGAAATATTTGTTTTTCTCGTACAAGCAGTCGCCTTGGAACTGTAGACACAGACAATGAGCACTCACTTCTCCCGGGCCACGTGTGGGGCCAGCTGATCCAACTCCATGTGGACGGGTCGCAAGTAGTGGAGCTCAGCAAACCTCCTAAGAAGCCGTTTGGATTCTATCTAGCTCGAGGCACGATCAGAAACTGCAGAGGTGAGTAGTCTTCTATGTAATTTAATTAGTTTCCTTATGAATATTTTGTGTTGTTCTTCTTATCATCAGTTCCTATCATGTGAGTAAGATCTTCATAATGATTGTAATTCAAGTCCTTTAGAAATCCTAAATATATTGTAGGATAATTAAAATTTTCTTTGTATATGATTTTTGTTTTTTTAATTTTTGCGCAAAGCTACACGAGAGTTATCTAATTTAGCAGTGAAAGACTAGAGGGAAGGCAGCTAGTCATCACCACCCACCGCCAACTCTTGGGCTACTCTTTTACCAACGAATAGTGAGATTGACCGTCACATTATAACGCCTCCACGGCTGAAAGGGCGAGCATGTTTGGTAGGATGGGGATACGAACCCTGGAAAAAGGTAATGAATTATTAAAATACCCATGACACTCCTCCAGGCCAACGTTGCAAGATACTGGGTGGAAACGTGTTCAGATACTAAATTAATAGCCAAAAATCACGTTATCTGAAGCATGTGATTTCATTATAATAAAGCCTTCAATGTAGAAGAAAATATAAGTATAGAGGATAGAAAACATGTAAAATTAATTAAAGAAACAGGAAAATGGGAATATAAATATTTGTTTAACAAGTTGAAAAGATTCTCCAAAATTGTAATTATTCTAGAAAGTGAGGCTGGAATTGCAAAGCTACTGATTACACAGGCCTGCGAAATTAAATTTCATAAAAGTTGTTTTGGTTTTAATAACAGATTTTCCATAATTCAGCTACGCAGATTTCGAAAATAATATTCAATTTTTTTCTATCACCTAAGGATTTTTTTACAAATCAGGAAGAATCAAAAACTCTTACTTAGATCAAATTGTTATTTCGTTTACCACAATGAACATTTTTCATTATCATGTTTGTTAACAAAAATACAAACAAACTGAAGAAAAGGGAAGAACATTGATGTGAAACGAATATTCATTTTCATTCATCCTCATTTTTTGTGTATGAAATTTACGTCTTTTAGTCTCAAAACTACGTGTTGTGGTCTTTCTTTTATGTATTGCGTCT